ATGCAGCTGGAATCCCCCATCAGACTTGCAGGGCCTTTTCTCTCCTACCTTTTTCAGGTGGCGAATAAAAAGGGGAAGGATAATGTGGAGAGGACTAAGGGCTGCAGTATGTTGGACATTGTGGGAAGAAAGAAACTCCAGGATATTCTCAGAAACTCAGAGAGGAGCAGCAAATCTGAGGGCTATCATACATATTAGGGCGGTACAATGGCTGAAATCTTTGGAACTATTCCCAGATTACATTGTGGATGACATGTTGAGGAAGTGGGGTGAAATTGCAAATTGCACACAGACCAAGTCAGTAATGAATGTGGCTTGGACTCCCCCACCTAGTGGATTCTTGAAATTAAACTTTGATGGTTGTAATAGAGGAAATCCGGAACAATCTGGAATTGGAGGTATTTTTAGGGACGAAAATGGGGTCATCTCTGCCATGTTATCAGGCCCAATTGGAGTGGGTGACTCCCTTAGAGCTGAGATCTTTGCAGTTATGGAAGGAGTCCGGAAAGCTAAGGAGTTGAACATCAAGAAACTCATAATGGAAGGGGATTCAGAGGTGGTGATAGGGTGGCTGACTAAAGATCAAAATGGTTTATGGAAGTACAACAATGAGAGGAGGAAATTCATGTGGCTGGTGCGGGAGATGGAAGTTAAGCCATGTTGGGTTAAAAGATCGGCTAATTCCCTAGATGACGGTTTAGCTAAACAAGGGGTAGAAAGGGATTCACTGTTTTGGGCGAAGCTGTAACTTTAGTGTCTTCTTTTCTCTTTTTCTTCTTTTTTTCCTTTCATGAGGCTCTTTGTGGCTCTTGGGAGATAAGTGTGTGTGTCTTCCTCCTGTAAATTTTCTACTGATGATTTAATGAAAGTGTTATTGATCAAAAAAAATAAATATTTCATTTGTAAAGGTGTTGTTAGTGGTGAAATCTACTAGCCATTTGTAAAGTTTGGTGATCAAGTGGCTGATTGTCTTACAAATGGAATTCCTTAGTCAAAGCTGGAAGATAACCTCTGCAAGCTAGGCGTGTATGATATCTATGCTCAGCTAGTAGAGAGGGAATGTTGAGAATGAGAAAGGACAATATTGACTTTGCACTTGGGTAGATCATTAGGAGCCTATTAAAGAGCCTTGTAATTTGATCTGTCAATATACAGGTCAATCATTAGGCGTATAAGAAACAAGAAAGATTGTCAACCCCATTCTCTCATATTGCTGTTTTCAAATTTTCTCACCTTATTCTTCTCTTCTGTTCTCTTTATCTTATGTAAATTGACATCAAAACTTTACAAATCCTTGAATGATGGCAAACCAAAGGATAGTTATAATTAATTGTGACAATTCGTATGAATAACTGAGATGCTTTAATCATGGTTAATCCACATGGATATCACCAGTTAATTGGAAAATTAGCATTATTATCACAATAGAATCGATGATTTTAATGTATATATAAACCATTAAATAAGATGCAGTAATGGTGTAAATTAAATTAAAGAAGCATATCTAAGAGTATTCAAGAAATAAGATCCAAAAAATACTGTCACATCTATTACTAACCGCTGAAGCCGTAACATTGATCTGTGCAAAGCAATGAAAATGCGGGTACTTCCAATTATTTCCTGGTAAGCAACAAAAGAGGGAATTGGTCATGGTTTATGCTTATAAAAGCTTTGTGAGAAACCAAATCTTTATTTAATTGAGTTTGCAGTCTCCAAGATGCAACTCAGTCTCGAAAGGCACATTGATAGCTTTATATGCTTAGTGAAGGTCTTTTCCTAGGGACAGAACTAAGATGCAACATAACCAGTGTCAGATGGAGGATCTAGATGGTATTCACTACTTTACATGGGACAAAGCAATATTGCACTCCTATCGTTGCTAATGTTCACCATAGATGTGACAATACATTTTGATTGGAAAGATACATTATTATTGTTAAGAGTCGGCTGTAGAGGGGTAGTTCGGTCCTTTTGCTTTATGTTAAGAGTGTGGGGTGTAATATCTGTTATAGTCTGGTTTAAGTGTTGTGTCCCAAACTTAAATAGGGGCACAACTGTCTTTTTGCTCTTAATTAGAAACTTATATATAAAATCTGACCGACTAGAGAGAAACTGTCTTCTCTAGTTCGAACCAGCCTTTATTCTCTTCTCTATACTCTATACTAAAACTGGAACAGATCTGAACTTTATCATGGTATCAGAGCTACTGTAAGAAGTTTAGATCTACCCAGAATTTTTCATCACCATTTACCCTAGGTTTTTGCAGAATTCTCATCAACCACTTGGAGGTTAGCAGAAGAGCTGAAAAGGAGTGATCATTTTCTTCTATTGGAGGTTTTGATGCCTCCGGTTGGTGGTGCAGTGGTTGTTTTTGGTGGTTGGTAGGAAGCTCTCTAATCAATGGATAAAAGAAAGCTGTTTCAGATGTAGTGGACAGACGAGTGCAGGTCTGATTTTTGTGGCTCAAATAGGTGGGTCACATGGGTGTTACAGTGTGAAATGAGTATTGATTAGTTTCAGACCTAGTACTATGTGTGTGGGGTGTATTCGAGTGTTTTGTGATGTTGAAAGTGAAGAATAGCAGTGACTATTATTGCTGAAAACTGTGACAGTAGATGTTTTCAGCAATAACCAGCCATTAGTGTGCAGTGTGGTGACTAGTAAGTGAGGTGGTGTGACATACTAGTGAGTGAATTTTTTTTATCGCATCAGCTATGGTAGATAGCAGTGAAAACAAATCTAGTGTTATGAACCCCCCCCTCCCGATTACCTAAATGTGCACATGACATCTATTAAACTGAATGGTAGGAATGGAATTATGTGCCTTGGGCTAAATCTGTAAAAGTTTTCCTTAGAGCTAAGAAGAAGGTGAAACATGTGAAAGAAGAAAAAACCCTCTGTTGATTCTTAGGGATATAGTGAATAGGAACAAGAAGATGCACAAATTGTGACATGGTAATGGAATAGTATGGAACCCAAGGTTAGTGTGAATTTTATGTTCTTAGATACAACCAAGGAGATTTGTAACCATGCAAAGCAACTTTACTTTGGACAAGACAATACTACTAGAGTATACCAACTTTACCAAGAGCATTTTAATCTGCAGCAAGGTAATCAAAGTCTTGAGGAGTACTATGCTAGTATGAGGAATCTTCACAATAAGTTGGATGTGTATCATCCCCTTACTTCTGATGTCAAGACTCGACAACAACAGAGAGCACCTTGATGTAACCAGATTTTTAGTAGGGTTGAAGTCTGAATATAAACCAATGAGAAAATAGATACTAGGTGGGTCTGCCCTTCCCTCTCTTGAAGAGGTGTTTGCCTGTCTTCGGAGGGTTTCTGTTGGACCTACAGAGAACTCTACCATATCTGATAGGTCTGCTTTTGAAATGACACGAGGAGGAGGTCATGGAGGTAGAGGAAAAGCTTGGGGAGTTCAGCCAGGTCATGGCGGTAATTGTCTTTTCGCAAATTCCCCATTAACCTTATGTCTGTTAGTAAATTGACCAAATCTCTTAATTGCTCTATCACCTTTTGTCCTTCTTGTGTTTTTCAGGATCTCAAGACAGGGATGAAGATTGGTGAAAGGCATGAAGCTGGTGGACTGTATTATCTTGATGGTGGTGGTTCGTCAACAGTTCTTCAATCATTTCTTTCTCCTCTTCAGTGGCACTTAAGTTACTTGTTCCATCCTTGAGTTGTCTTTCTACTATGAATTGTTAGTCGTGTCAGTATGGAAAACACCATCATGTTCCCCGTTAGTCCTAAGATTGACAGTCATATGCCAAGTCCTTTTTCTTTGTTCCATTCAGACATTTGGGGTCCAAATAAAATAGTGTCATAGTACTCTGTAATTTTTGTTAAAGACTATTCAAGGATGACATGGCTTTATCTTATGAAATAAAGGAGTGAATTGTTTTCTATTTTCCAAAATTTTTATGGTGAAATTTGCAATCAATTTGGTGAAGGGATCCTATATTTCGTTATATTTATATTTATTATGTTTATATTTATATATATTATATTATTTATATTTATTATATTTATATATATAATATAATAAAGAAAAAATAAAATTAAAAATATTAAAAATAATATAATATTATATATATTATATATTAAATATTAAATTTAACAAATAAATAATTAAATTAATAATTATACATATAAAAATACTTTGTTCTGATAATGGCCAAGAATACTTTTATACACCGTTTCAAGAATATTTGGAACATGGTATTATCCATCAAACCCCATGTACTTACACTCCTCAGCAAAATGGAGTGGTTGAGAGAAAGAACCGCCATCTTTTGGAGACTACTCAGTCCCTTTTGCACCATATGAATGTACCCAAACGTTTTTGGAGTGATCTAGTACTTACATCTTGCTTCCTTATTAATCGGATGCCCATGTCTATCTTTGAAGGTCATCCTCCTTTCTTTGTTTTGTTTCCTACCTTGTCTCATTTTCCTCTTACTCCTAGGGTTTTTGGGTGTGTGTGTTTTGTCCATAAGATTGGCCTAGAATGTAGACAAATTAGATGCACGATCTACTATGTGTGTCTTTGTTGGCTATTTTAGCACTCAGAAAGGGTATAAGTGTTATAAACTATAAGGAAGATGAGCCGAATGGCCCATAGCCCATGGTTGTGTTTTATTTTTTGTTTATGTTTTGTTCTGTTAATGGGCCTTTTCTTATGGGCCTATTAGCATCAGTTTCTCTTGTTTTAATTAGCTAGCCACCCCACTAAGGGCTTACTTGTAATTTTTTGTTAATTAGTGATTAACCATTTTAAGTAAAAGGATTAGGAAAAGGAGAGAGAGTACGAACAACTTTCTAAACGCCTTGTATTTCTAAACACCTTTCTTATGGCCTTATTTCCCCTTCATATTATTCTTTTCTTTCCTTTGTTTCTTCTCACCCTATACCTAGGTCTATATCAGAAGCACTCCCAATTCCAAAATGGAGGGATGCTATGAAAACCGAGATAGAGGCACTGCACAAGAATGACACATGGGAAGTGGTTGATTTGCCTGAAGGGAAGGAGGAGCTAGTGGGCTGTAAGTGGGTGTATACCATCAAAAATCATGTCGATGGTTCCATTGAGAGGTACAAAGCCCGGTTGATTGCAAAAGGCTATACACAGAAGCATGGGATTTCAATACAATCAGATTTGCACTCAAAGGGGGAGATTCCTCCATTCCTTGGTGCATCGGAGGGGACTTCAATACAATCAGATTTGCGTCGGAGAAAAACGGGCAAGCCAGAAGAGATAGAGGAATGAGAAGCTTTGCAAGTTTTGTTCAGAGGTGGAGTTTAATGGATTTGCCTTTGGCAGGTGCTAACTTTACTTGGACAAACAACCAAGCTGCACCTACTCTAGTAAAGTTGGATCGTTTCCTTACCTCACCTAATTGGGATGACACCTTTCCAAATCTAACTTAGTCAGCCCTCCCTAGACCCTTGTCAAACCATATCTCACTTCTCCTAGACAGTGGAGGGCTGTTACCTCCGCGGGGCCCTTTCAGATTCGTGCATATGTGGTTAAAGGAAGATGGCTTCATGAACATGATTCAGGGGTGGTGGGAGAACATGAGCTTCTTTGGCTCAGCTAGCCATGTGTTCCATCTGAAACTGAAGGATCTGAAACAGAAAATTTAAGTGTGGAATAAAGAAGTTTTTAAAGGAGTTGAGGCCAAAAAAGCCGACTATCTCCAGCAAATTGTTGATTTGGATTTAGAGGAGAGAGGCCCCTTGAGTGAAGAAAATAGGAAAAAGAGATCCCAAGCTAATCTGATTTTTGACAAACTTTCAGTGCAAGAGGAGGTTAAGCAGAGGCAGCGGTCTAGGAATCTTTGGTTGAAAGAAGGTGACAACAACACTAATTTCTTCCACAAAATGGCTAATTCTAGAAGGCGCATAAACAGTATTAAATCCCTAAAAGTAAATGGGGAGGTCTTGGAAGGGGATAGCAGAATTAAAAATGCCGTTGTGGATTTCTATTCGAATCTGTATAAAGAAAGATGGAAAAAGAGGTCTAGGCGGGATGGATTGGATATTAACAGAATATCAGAAGAAGAGGCTGCTGATTTAGAAAAACCATTTACAGAGGAAGAAATCAGGGAGGCTATCTTTCAAATGGAAGGGGACGAAGCCCCAGGCCCGGATGGTTTTACTTTGAAGTTCTATAAGCTGGGTTGGCAGTTCATTAAGCAAGATCTGCTGAAGGTCTTTGCAGAATTTCATGCAAACGCTTCTCTGGAAAGATGTCTCAACTCAACTTTTATCACCTTGGTTCCTAAGAAGGAAGAGGCCTTGGAATTGAAAGATCATAGACCCATCAGCCTCTTAGGAAGTGTTTATAAAATACTAGCAAAAGTCTTAGCTTCAAGGCTGAAGAGAGTGATGGGTAAGATCATCTCACCCTCCCAAGGTGCTTTTGTAGAAGGGAGACAGATTCTTGATGGGTCCTTATCGCTAATGAGTTGATTGACTCACGTAGAAGGGAGAGTAAAGGGGGGCTGATTCTCAAGGTGGATATTGAAAAGGCTTTTGACCATGTCAGTAGGAATTTCCTGGACTATATGCTTGCAAGAGTGAATTTCAGTTCTAAGTGG